AGAACCAGCCTTTTGTTTCATTTATCTTTCATACTTTTTTTTTGTTTCAATTTCGTTTGGTTCTGCTCTGATCTTGGTTATTTTCTTTCTTCTGCTGGTTTTGGTTTGTTCTTGTTTCTCTAGTTCCTTGAGGTGTGACCTTAGATTGTCTGTTTGTGCTCTTTCAGACCTTTTGATGTAGGTGTTTAGGGCTATGAACTTTTCTCATAGCACCATATTAGCTGTATCCCAGAGGTTTTGATAGGTTGTGTCATTATTGTCATTTAGTGTGAAAAAAAAAAAATTTAAGAGAGAGTCTCACTCTGTTGCCCAGGCTGTAGTGCAGTGGTGCGATCTCGGCTCACTGCAACCTCCGACTCCCAGGTTCAAGCAATTCTCGTGCCTCAGCTTCTCAAGTAGCTGGGAATACAGGCACCTGCCACCACACCTGGCTAATTTTTGTATTTTTAGTAGAGATGGGGTTTTACCATGTTGGTCAAGCTGGTCTTGAGAACTCCTGACCCCAGGTGATCCGCCTCCACCTCCCAAAGTGCTGGGATTACAGGCATGAGCAACCGCACCTGTCCTGAAAATTTTTTTAATTTTCATCTTGATTTCGTTTTTGACCCAATGCTCATTCGGGAGCAGGTTATTTAATTTCCATGTATTTGCATGGCTTTGAGGGTTCCCTTTGGAGTTGATTTCCAGTTCTATTCCACTGTGGTCTGAGAAAGTGCTTGATATACTTTCAATTTTTTTTTAATTTATTGAGGCTCATTTTATGGCCTTTCATATTGTCTATCTTGGAGAAAGTTCCACGAGCTGTTGAATAGAATGTGTATTCTGTGGCTGTTGGATGAAGTGATCTGTAGATATCTGTTAGGTCCATTTGTTCCAAGGTATAGTTTAAATCCATTGTTTCTTTGTTGACTTTCTGTCTTGATGACCTGTCTAGTACTGTCAGTGGAGTACTGAAGTCTCCCGCTATTATTGTGTTACTGTCTATCTCATTTCTTAGGTCTATTAGTAATTGTTTTATAAATTTGGGAGGTCTAGTGTTAGGTGCATATATGTTTAAGATTGTGATATTTTCCTGGTGGATAAGGCCTTCCACCATTATATAATGTCCCCCTTTGTCTCTTTTAACCACTGTTGCTTTAAAGTTTGTTTTGTCTGATATAAGAATAGCTACCCCTGCTTAATTTTGGTGTCCATTTGCATGAAATGCTTTTTTCCACCCCTTTACTTTAACTTTATGTGAGTGCTTATGTGTTAGGTGAGTCTTCTGAAGGCAGCAGATGGTTGGTGAGTTCTTATCCATTCTGCAGTTCTATATCTTTTAAGTAGAGCATTTAGGCCATTTATGAATGTTAGTATTGAAAAGTGAAGTACCGTTGCATTCATCATTCATCATGCTCTTTGTTACTTGTGTACTTTGTTTTTTGTTTTTGCTTTTTTTTTTTTTTTTTGAGACGGAGTCTCGCTCTGTCCCCCAGGCTGGAGTGCAGTGGCCAGATCTCAGCTCACTGCAAGCTCCGCCTCCCAGGTTTACGCCATTCTCCCGCCTCAGCCTCCCGAGTAGCTGGGACTACAGGCGCCCGCCACCTCGCCCGGCTAGTTTTTTGTATTTTTAGTAGAGACGGGGTTTCACCGTGTTAGCCAGGATGGTCTCGATCTCCTGACCTCGTGATCTGCCCATCTCAGCCTCGCAAAGTGCTGGGATTACAGGCATGAGCCACCATGCCTGGACATTGTTTTTGCTTTTTAACTTGAATTTTTGTTTTATAGGTCCTGTGTGCTTTATGCTTTAAAGTGATTCTGTTTTGATGTGTTTCCAGGATTCTTTCAAGATTTAGAGCTCCTTTTAGCAGTTCTTGTAGTGGTGGCTTGGTAAATTCTCTCAGCATTTGTTTATCTGAAAACAATTATATCTTTTCTTCATATAGGATGCCTAGTTTTGCTGGACACAAAATTCTTGGCTGAAGATTGTTTTGTTTGAGGAGGTTAAAGATAGGGCCCCAATCTCTTCTAGCTTGTAGGCTTTCTGCTGAGAAGTCTACTGTTAATCTGATAGGTTTTCCTTTATAGGTTACCTGGTGCTTCTGTCTCACAGCTCTTAAGATTCTTTCCTTGGTCTTAAGTTTGAATAACCTGATAACAATTTGCCTAGGTGAAGATGTTTTTGTGATGAATTTTCCAGGTGTTCTTTGTGCTTTGTATGTTTGCAAATCTAGGTCTCTAGCAAGGTTGGGGAAGTTTTCCTTGATTATCCCCCCAAAATGTTTTTCCAAGCTTTTAGAATTGTCTTCCTCCTAATGAATACCAATTATTCTTAGGTTTGGTCATTTAACATAATCCCAAACTTCTTGGAGGCTTTGATCATATTTCCTTATTCTTTTTTCTTTGTCTTTGTTGGATTGGGTTAATTTGAAGACCTTGTCTTCGAGCTCTGAATTTCTTTCTCCTACTTGTTCAATTCTATTGCTGAGACTTCCCAGAGCATTTTGCATTTCTAAAAGTGTGTCCAAAGTCTCCTGAATTTTTGTTTTTAAATTAAGCTACCTATTTTATTGAATATTTCTCCCTTCACTTTTTGTATCATTTTTTGGATTTCCTTGCATTGGGCTTTGCTTTCTCTAGTGCCTCCCTTATTAGCTTAATAACTAACTTCCTGAATTCTTTTTCAGGTAAGTCAGGGATTTCTTCTTGGTTTGGATCCATTGCTGTTGAACTAGTGTGATTTTGGGGGGGTGTTAACGAGCCTTGTTTTGTCATATTACCAGGGTTGCTTTTCTGGTTCCTTTCCATTTGGGTAGGCTCTGTCAGAGGGAAGGTCTAGGGCTGAAGGCTGTTGTTCAGATTTTTTTGTCTCACAGGGTATTCCCTTGATGTAGTACTCGCCCCCTTTTCCTGTGGTTGTGGCTTTCTGTGAGCTGAACTGCAGTGATTATTGTCTCTCTTCTGGGTCTAGCCACCCAGCGAGTCTACCCAGCTCCTGGCTGGTTCTGGGGGTTTCTGCACAGGGTCCTGTGATGTGAACCATCTATGAGTCTCTCAACCGTGGATAATAGCCCCTGTGCCAGTAGAGGTGGTGAAGGTTGCAAGAACCTTCCGTGAGTGTTCTTAGCTTTAGTGGTTTAATGTTCTATTTTTGTGCTGGTTGACCTCCTGCCAGGAGGTGATGCTTTCCAGAAAGCATTAGCTGTAGTAGTGTGGAAAAGGACCGGCCGTGGGCAGGGCCCTAGAACTCCCAAGATTACATATCCTTTGTCTTCCACTACCAGGGTGGGTAGGGAAGGATCATCAGGTGGGGGCAGTGCTAGGTGTGTCTGAGCTCAGACTCTCCTTGGGCGGGTCTTGCTGTGGCTGCTGTGGGGATGGGGTAAGATTCCCAGGTCACTGGAGTTGTGTACCTGGAGTTGTGTACCTAGGTTGTCAGGGAAGTGGGGAAAAGCCAGCAGTCACAGGCCTCACCCAGCTCCCACCCAAACCAAAGGCCAGTCTCACCCCCACCGTGCCACCCACAACAGCCCCAGGTCTGTTTCCAGGCGGAGTGCAGGCTTGAAAGCTTGCCCGAGGTTTTCCAGTTCCCAGCCGCCAAAGAAAAGGGCTTTAGTTCTTCCCCTAGTCTGTGAAGTCTGTAAGCCAGATTCGCACTCTCCCCTGAGTTCTGGCTAGAACTCTTGCCACATTCAAATTGTTACAGAGTTCAGCTAGGGAAGTCCTTCTCCCTGGTGGGGTTTTACCCCCTGCTCCTCTGGCCTCCCTCCTGATAGATCCCTGTGGTGTCAGGCAGGAATAGGCTGCTTGGGGATTCAATGAGCTCCCCGGGCCTCCCTGCTGCCTCCTCCACCCTGTATTTCACTCGGCTCTGCTAACTTGACTCACCTCCAGATAAAGTCCGGAATGTCTCTCACTAACAGACCTTCAACTTCTCCACTGGGGGTGTGTGTTCCAGAAAGGAGGGTCTCCCTTTCCCAGTTCCACAGTTGGGGCACTCACAGTATTTGGGGTGTCTCCCGGGTCCTGCAGGAGCAGTCTGTTTCCTTCAGAGGGTCTGTGGGTCCTCTCAGGATTGCTGTTTTGTCCTTGTAGTCGATCTGGAGCTAAAATTCACAATGCAAGCCTCCACAATGCTGCTCTATCCAGAGCTGCAATCTATTCCTGCCTCTCATCTGCCATGATCCACCGTCTCTCAAGAAAAGTAAACTCCATACACTGCTGGTAGAAACACAAATTATTAAAGCCACTATGGAAAACAGTATGGATATTTCTTAAAAAAAAAAAAAAACTCAATATCAAGGCCTGGATGAGATTAGACTATTATACTAAGTAAAATAACTGAGGAATGGAAAACCAAACATCTTATATTCTCACTTATAAGTGGGAGCTAAGCTATGAGGATGCAAAGGCATAAGAATGACACAATGGACTTTGGGGACTCAGGGGGAAAGGGATAAACTGCAAATAGGGTGCAGTGTATACTGCTCCGGTGATGGGTAAACCAAAATCTCACAAATCACCACTAAAGAACTTACTCAAGTAACCAAACACCACCTGCTTCCCAATAACCTATGGAAATTTTTTTTTTAATTATTTTAAACCACTAGGTCATTCATATGGTATGATTTCCTTATACATTAGACCGAGTTTCAACCTCACTTATTCCATTGAGGACTAACATTTGTTTGAGCCCGTATTCTATTTTTAGAGTTAACTATCAGCCTGTGAAATTGTCTGAATACACTCAATTTCAGTATGTTTATAGCAGCACAACTCACAATTGCAAAAATATGGAACCTGCCCAAATGCCCAACAATCAACAAGTGGTTAAAGAAACTGTGGTATATATGTATATGATCGAATACTACTCAGCCATAAAGGAATGAATTAATGGCATTCACAGCAACCTGGATGGGACTGAATATTGCAGGATCTGGCCAGCAGCCTGCAATGCAACGGGGCTCTTTCTTTGTTCCCAGGTGGATCGGCAGGTCAAGAAATAATAGACACACACAAGATAGTGAAAGCTGGGTCCAGGGGGGTCACCGCCTTCTGGTCCCATGGTGCCACCAATGCACTGGATATACCAGCATTTATTATTATATTCAGTGAGGGCGGGGGTAGGTTAGTGAGGGATTTAGGGTCATTTGATTATGAGGTTAGATGGTCACATGGGGATGAAGTAATTCTTTAACATAACATCTGTATGCAGAAGTAAAGTATACAGAGATAAGAATTTACAATATAGTGTGTACATCAATAATTTCTAACAGAGACTTAAAACAGAAACATAGTCTTTCCATAACCTATGATTAGCCAGATATTAATCAGCAGTAACAGTTACAGCAAAAGCTGGTTACAAACAATCCACAGCAACAGGATGTGAAGCTAGACAACCATTTAGACCAGAAATTCTCAGAAGGGAGTATGCCTTAACCCTAAAGAGATCTAGAAGAGCCGTGGCAAGATGACGGCATTTATAGCCCTAGCTTATCCATAAGGACAGGTGCCTCTCATGCATGTGTTTATAGGCTCTCCACAAGGGTCACATTCCATTCCCAGAGCTATGAACATCTGCTTTTCTGGGATAGGAATCTTAGTGATGTGAAACCTCCCTGACTGCACGTCCGTTCACAGGCTCTCTGCAGGGGAAAGCACATCATGTGCTGTTGGCTCATTCTGGCAGTCCAACCTGGCATTGTCTTTACACAATCCTGCATTCAATTTTGTATTTACAACAATCAGGAGCATTTCATCTTTTATTCCGTAGCAATAGTTTCAGGGGCTTATCCCTACATCTCCCCCTTTTCTCTGATTTAAATGAACCATAGCAATCATACCTTGGCACTGATTACGACTAGATTGAAGAATACTTTTTCCATACCTTGGCACTGATTACGACTAGATTGAAGAATACTTTTTCCAATTTTACACATGAACAATAAACCAATAGCACAAATTATACACAGAACAAAATGAACGATAGTGGATCCTCCCAAAGATTTTACCCATTGAATGGGGTTGAGATTAGATAAACCCTCAGAGATACCGTCTAAAACTTCAGCACTGGGTAAAGCAGTTACGTGTGCTTGAGAGGCCTCAAAAATCTGTTCTTTTAGTTTGCTTATGTCTAAACTTAAATTACCTTCACTTCCTTGTAAATGGCATTTTACCAATTCCCAATTGTGAACAGACTCATTATATTGAAATGGAGTTATACAAAAACCAGAAGTATTCCAATGACATTGCATTTTTAATCTATGTTCTAAACTCATAATTCTATCTCCCATCCATATAACAGCTTGTCTTAGGTCATTAATTTGATTGGCCAATTTTTGATCAATACCTGACTGAAAGTTCCACATTTGAGTAGAATTTGTTTGCCATTTATCCACAAAATGAACAGTTTGAATAGATTGATGTAATGCAACTCCAGCAGTAGCAGCAGTCGCAGTAACAGAAATCAAGCCCATTATTACTGCAATTAATGTAAAAATAAATCATTTACTCCTTCTAGGAAATTTTTGTAGAATATTGTTAATAACATGGATAGAAGGGGAAGATTCCCAAGGCCTATGTAAGGCTACAGGGAGCCAAATACCTTCTCTGACTCTGACTATTAAAATACTATGGTATTGATTAAAGGATGAGTCAATACAAGTATACAAGTAACAATTTACACAGGTAATTTTTTTTTAAATAATATGCATCTTTTGTACTAATAACATATATGGTGGTTTAACACAACTTTTAAGTGGGATAGTTTTATTGGACTCCATATAGACAGTATATATATTTTGGGATGGTACTCTTTTTTGTGAATGTGGAGTGGGGGGAATAGGTTGAATGAGAGGTGGTGGGGGGACATTAGCAACAGGGGGGTAGAAGTTCTCATAATCTTTACTGTCCCGTCTTTGAATTGACCTTTTGATGACTGCCATAGTGATATTTTTGGCTGTGTGTAAATAGTAGTGTAAATCAGTCTGTTGTCTTAGTTTTCAAGGTGACTAGGTGGATTTACTTATAGCACTTTCTCCAGCCCAAAGTCTCATACCAGTCATAGCTATGGTTAATCTCCACAATTCTGAATGTTCAGGTCCTAAGTGGGGAACAATGAGCCTTGGCTTTGGAGGGGCAACCCCCGCCCCTTTCCACTTAAAAGGAAAAAAGGAGTTAAACATACGATATAATAGGGGAGGATTATCATTACTTTTTTGATAAGTAATATCATGGAGAAAATATTGATAATCTCTGTGACTTTGAGAGCAATCATTAGTAATATGACCTTTAGGAGCCCAATCAGCAATGGTGTAGTGAGAAGAATTAAATAACACAGTTCCTTCTGAACTAACACAATCCTTCCATATTAATTTGTCAGCATTTGAAGACAAGTTCAGGGGACACGCAGGTCCTAAAGGCTCATATTGGGATGTGTGAATATAATCAGTGATTCTTATTTTGATCCGTCTTAGAGGTTTTAATGAGAGCCCTGATACCAAGTGTCCTAAAGGAGGGACAGAGTGACTAGATTGTAGTGTAACTGCCCAAATTTGAATATCTAATGAGAGACATCCATTAGTGGGTCCCAGGCACAAGGTGGATACCTAAAACTTAAAGTGATATTGAAAGGGGTTCTTTATTCTGAAGGTTGGGCAGGACAACGATCATCTACAGAACCAGGCATCCAAATACTATCATTAACATAGACCTCGATAGGGGTGTCCATCCATGTCATGGCTCGAATAAGAAGAGGAAAAGGAATACAGGCTCAATATGTATGGTTTTCAACAGTCTGTGGGGTGACAGATGGTAGAAGGATCAGTGTCATCAGGAGGAGGCAGAGGTTGAGCCAGACCTGGATGGCTGCAGACAAGTTGTTCAGGATGACTGACTGGATTGTCTGTTGTAAAGGAGTTAGCGTGGTCATTTTCTTCTTTTTGACGATTGGATGTGTTAGTTGTTTCCTGCTGTGGCATTTTTTTCAGCAAATTTCTCTGTCTTGTTGTTGCATGCATCTTCAGGACACAATTTCAGGTGTCTAGCAGGAATCCAAACAGGAGATTAATGTTCACATGGGAAAACACAAGCATAGCCTCTTCCCCATGTTAAAATAGAACCTTTTGACCACATATTAGATTGAACATCTTTCCACCATACTTCCCTTCCTTGGTTTACCGTGGGACAGTTACCAGAGAAATGTTTTTCAGCAGCAGTAACAGAACTAGATTTAGGAATATTAAGAAAATTTAATGTGAGCAATTCCAAGTTTAGTTGTATGTGAGGGATAGACAACTCCTTATTCCCCTCTTTTTGTTTCAGTAATTGTAATTTTAAAGTTTTGTTAGTTCTTTCTACAATAGCTTGGCTTTGTGGGTTACAAGGGATACCAGTAATATGTTTAATATGCCACTGATCAAGACAATTTTTAAAAGCTTTACTGCAATAGGCTGGACCATTGTCTATTTTGAGCTCACTAGTAATTGCCATAACCACAAAACATGAAAACATATGTTTTTTAATGTGAGAAGTGGCTTCTCCAGTTTGACAGGTAGCCCAGATGAAACTGGAAAAGGTGTCAACTGCGACATGCACATAAGCTAATTTTCCAAAAGAAGGAACATGAGTAACATCCATTTGCCAAATAGCATTACGAGAAAGGCCTTGGGGATTAACTCCAGGAGATTATGTGGGTAAGATAAGAACCTGACACTGAGAACAGTGTTGTACAATTTCTTTAGCTTGTTTCCAAATGAGAGAATATTTATGTTTAAGACCTGAGGCATTTGTATGGGTGAGTTGATGAAATTGTTCTGCATCTATAATGGCTAGAGAAACTATAGTATCAACGTTATGATTACCACTGGATAAAGGTCCAGGCAAATTAGTATGAAATCAAATGTGAGTGATGAAAAAAGGGTGATTTCAGTTTCTGACTTTTTTTGTAACAAAGGGAACAAGGAAAATGGATTAGTATCAGTAATACTTTTGGTGGTAGCTGTTTCTATTGCCTTAGTGGCATGGACTACATAAGCTGAGTCAGAGACAATATTAAGAGGCTGATCAAAATCCTGTAATGCAGAGATAACAGCAAACAACTCGGCTTTTTGAGCAGAAGTGAATGGAGTAGAAACGACTTTATCTTTTGGTCCTACATACCCTGCCTTTCCATTACTGGATCCATCAGTAAAAATGGTAACAGCTGCCTCTAGTGGTGATGAACTAGTAAGTTTTGGTAGAATTCAGGAAGTATTTCACAGAAATTGAAAGAATTTTGACTTAGGCAAATGATTATCAATAGTGCCAGTGAAGTCAGCCAGATTAGTCTGCCAGCACAAAGATGTAGAAAAGGCAGTTTTAACTTCATTTTTTGACAAATGGACCACAATAATGTTTGGATCAAAGCCAGAAATTTTAGTGATATGTTGACATCCTAACCCAATCAAAGTGGCCATTTGATCAAGATATAATGAAAGAGTTTTAGAGGCCGAATTAGGAGGAAATACCCTTTCAACTAGAGAATCATCTCGTACTGTAAGTCCCGTAGGAAAGTGCATGGAAGGAAAAACTAAAAATTGTAAAGGCAAATTTGGGTCAATACGAGAGACTTGTGCCTCTCTCACTCTTTGTTCTACAAAAGACAACTCTTGTTTTGCTGGTTCAGATAGACAGTGAGGACTGTTTAAATCTGTATCTCCTGATAAAGTAGCAAATAGATGAGATAATGCATAAGTAGGGATGCCTAGGGTTGGTCTGAGATAGTTGATGTCACTAGTAATTTTTGAAAATAATTTAAGGTGTTTAAATTGTCAGTACAAAGTTGGACTTTTGGGGGCTTAATGGAGTGAGCTTCTAGCCGCATTCCTAAGTACAGAAAAGTAGTGGCTTGTTGAATTTTATTAGGAGCCATGTGGAGTCCTGCATTGGCAACAGCTAATTTTAAAGAAGTAAAACATTGAATTAATTCATCTTTAGTGGGGGCAGCAATCAGTATATCATCCATATAATGAAGAATGTAATTATTTTTAAAAGTCTGTTGGATAGGTTGTAACACAGTACCGACAAACAACTTACAAATAGTAGGACTGTTAATCATTCCTTAAGGTAAAACTTTCCATTGATATCTAGCTGCAGGAGCTGAATTATTAATGGAAGTTACAGTTAAAGCAAATTTTTCACAGTCTGACTTGTCTAAAGGAATATGAAAAAAAAAAGCAGTCTTTAAGGTCAATGATAATTAAAGGCCATATGATGTTTGGTTTTCCATTCCTAAGTTACTTCACTTAGAATATTAGTCTAATGAGATCAAAGATATAATAAAAAGTCTCCCACAAAAGAAAAGCCCAGGACCTGATGGCTTTACTGATTAATTCTATGAAATATTTAAAGAACTAATACCAATTCTATTAAAACTATTCTCAAAAAACAGAGGAGGATAGAACACCATCAAACTCTTTTCTACGAGGCCAGTATTACTCTGATACCAAAACCAGACAAAGACACTTCAAAAAAAGAAAACTACAGGCCAATATCTTTGATGAATATTCATGCATAAATCCTCAACAAAATACTAGCAAACCAAGTTAAACAAAACATTAAGAAGATAATTCATCACGATCAAGTGGGATTTATCCCTGGGATGAAAAACTGGTTCAACAAACACAAATCAATCAACGTGATAGATCTTAGCAACAAAATAAAGAATGAAAACTATATGATTATTTCAATTGATGGTGAAAAAGCATTTGATAAAATTCAACATCCCTTCAGGACAAAAACCATCAGAAAACTGGGTATAGAAGGAACATACCTCAACATAATAAAACCCATATATGACAGACCCATAGATAGTATCATACTAAATGGGAAATAACTTAAAGCCCTTCCTCTAAGATATGGAACAGGATAAGGATGCCCACTTTCACTACTGTTATTCACCATAGTACTGGAAGTGCTTGCTAGAGCAATCAGAGAAGAGAAAGAAATACAGGGCATCCAAATTGAAAAGGAAGAAGTCAAATTATCCTTGTTTGCAGATGATATAATCCTATATTTGGAAAAATCTAAAGATTCCATCAAAAAACCATCAGAACTGACAAATTCAGTAAAGTTGTATAATACAAAATCAACACACAAAAATCAGTAGCATTTCTATATACCAACAGTAAACAATGTGAATAAGAAATAAACAAAAAAAGTAATCCTATTTAAAATTGCCACAAATAAATTTAAATACCTAAAAATTAACTTAAGAAGGTGTATTAGTCATTTTCACACCACTGATAAAGACATACCCGAGACTGGGCAATTTACAAAAGAAAGGGGTTTAATAGACTTATGGTTCCACGTGGCTGCAGAGGCCTAACAATCAAGGTGGAAGGCAAGAAGGAGCAAGTCATGTCTTACATGGATGGCAGCAAGCAAAGACAGAGATTGTGCAGGAGAACTCCTCTTGATAAAACCATCGGATCTCCTGAGACTTATTCACTATTGTGAGAACAGCAGGGGAAAGACCAGCCCCCATGATTCAATTACCTCCCACTGGGTCCCACGCACAATACATGGGAATTGTGGCAGTTACAATTCAAGATGAGATTTGGGTGGGGACACAGCCAAACCATATCATTCCAACCCTGGCCCCTTCCAAATCTCATATCCTCACATTTCAAAGCCAATCATGCTTTCCCAACAGTCCCCCAAAGTCTTACCTCATTTCAGCATTAACTCAAAAGTCCACAGTCCAAAGTCTCAACTGAGACAAGGCAAGTCCCTTCTGCCTATGAGCCTGAAAAATAAAAAGCAAGCTACTAACTTCCTAGATACAATGGAGGTACAGGCATTAGGTAAATACAGCCATTCTAAATGGGAGAAATTGGCCAAAAGAAAGGGGCTATAGACCCCATGCAAATCCAAAATCCAGCAGGGCAGACAAATCTTAAAGGTCCAAAATGATCTCCTTTGACTCTATGTCTCACATCCAGGTCACACTGATGCAAAAGATGAGTTTCCATGGTCTTGGGTAGCGAGTAGCTCTAGCCCTGTGACTTTGCAGGGTATAGCCTCCCTCCCAACTGCCTTCACAGGCTGGCAGTGAGTGTCTGCAGCTTTTCCAGGCACACAGTACAAGTTGTCAGTGGATCTACCATTCTGGGGTCTGGAGGACAGTAGCCCTCATCTCATAGCTCCGCCAGGTGGTGCCCCAGTAGGAACTCTTTGTGGGGGCTCTGACCCCACATTTCCCTCCCATACTGCTCTAGCAAGAGGTTCTCCATGAGAAGGCTCCAACGCCACATTTCCCTTCCACACTGCCCTAGCAGAGATTCTCTATGACAGCTCTGCGCCTGCAGCAAACTTCTGCCTGGGGATCCAGGCATTTCCATACATCCTCTGAGATCTAGGCAGAGGTTCCCAAACCTCAATTCTTGACTTCTGTGCTCTTGCAGTCTCAATACCATGTGGCAAGGCTTGAGGCTTGAACCCTCTAAAGCCACAGCCCAAGCTCTACATTGACTCCTTTCACCCATGGCTGGAGTGGCTGGGATGTTGGGCACCAAGTCCCTAGGCTGAACACAGCACTGGGACCCTGGACCTGGCCCACAAAACTACTTTTTCCTCCTAGGCCTCTGGGCCTGTGATGGAGGGCCTGCCCTGAAGACCTCTGACATGCCCTAGATACATTTTCCCCATTGTCTTGAGGATTAACATTCAGCCCCTTGTTATTTATGCAGATTTTTTCAGTGGGCTTAAATTTATCCTCAGAAAATGGGATTTTCTCTTCTATGGCATTGTAAGGCTGCAAATTTTCCAGTTTTATGCTTTTCTTCCCATATAAAACTGAATGCCTTTAACAGCACCCAAGTCATCTCTTGAATGCTTTGCTGCTTAGAAATTTCTTCTGCCAGATACCCTAAATCATCTCTCTCAAGTTCAAAGTTCCACAAATCTCTAAGGCAGGGGCAAAATTACACCAAGTCTCTTTGCTAAAACATAACAAGAGTCACCTCTGCTCCAGTTCCCAACAAGTTCCTCATTTCCATCTGA